AAGATATCTGTCGGATGGTTTAACAAGAAAGACCTTGGTGAAACGCAAAATAAGTATAAGGAACTTTTATCTGACGGATAAAATATCTGTCTGATTAGTTTCAGGAACTTTATCAGGCACCTGTGAAACAGGCCCTAAGACGCGTAATCCGCAATTTACAAGTAAAGCTTGATTATAGGAGTCGTTCGATTTGCGAATTTGTGATTCATGTCAAAAAACTCCTATGGATCAAATGCACAATACAAAAGTTTAAAAAAAATGCCTTCGTGACAATGCAGAAAGAATATGCACTTAAGTCGGAGCAGAATGGCATTTTTTGCGACTTCATGGAAAGGACGAACACTAAGCGATGGCAGTTTGCCACTTGAGCCATTCTTCAACCAGCTCAATAACTTTTTGTACAGACAGAACTAAATTCACTGAATAACATAATAACAATGCCATGTTATTTGCAAATGTAATTTTATAAACACCTCTCTTCTGTTAATATTACTCTATGTATTACGGGCATTTTTATGCATTGTATTTGTAAGGACAAACACTTCAATGATGTGTGATGAAGTTCCTCGAAAACTCAAAACTTTTCTGTAAAAATGAACTTAGAATTACGCGTTCTCAGAAACGCTCAAATGGCATTTTCTGAAAACCGGCTCCAAAGTTTTCAATGAAAATTTGCGTAAGGTTCAAGTTCCCCTCTTCTGTAAATTCACGGTCATTTCTGTCGGACTATCAGGGATCTAGAAACTGAGAATTCGCCGAGAAAATGTGATAAAACCTATTTAGCTACCAATGGGAGTCTGGGAGAGCGAGTTGTTGAACGACTAGTAAGAAAACGTCTTCACTGGTTCCTGCAATAGTGTGTTTAAAATGACAAGATTAATACCGTCAGCACCCATCTGCGTCAAAGTGGTTTTCATCATTAATTATTTCAAGAAAATGTTATCCTGTCCGGGGCGTTCTTTACGTTTTTCGAACGCATCGCCCTTGCGTATTGCCCTGCAGTGCCGCGTAGAGCAGCTGAATCACACACAGCTTTGAAACGAGGCACCGACCGTCTAGAATTTATTTGACTGCTTTGCGATGTGCGACGTGATCCCGACCCTGCTGGTCCGGCTGTAGTTTTTTTTAACAAGACATGCGTGCAGACGGCGCCTTAAGGTTGTCACGTTATGTCAAAAATAAGATAATACGTTGCAACTGAAATTTATCAAAAAATTAGATGTTTTTTCATGCTTTCCTAAAATTTGAAGAAATTCTACCGTATAGTTTAAAAGATAATCACATTTGAAAACTTGCGTTTTAACACACAAAGTATAGGAAAATGGTTTCATCCGACCATAAACAATTAAATTTGAAACACTTCTATACAATATTACATGAGGGAGAAATGTTAAACCTTTCTAAAGAGAAAATAATTGGCACGAAAATGTTTTACCTTGTAGTTTGGACACGAACACAGAAAGAAAATAACTGTCATCGATTTTTCGTAAGAATGAAAAAGCGCATGACTTGACATACCACTCACGAGAATTTTAAATATTGAGAAACTGAGCAAGGCTGGTTTGTGGCAATGCTTTGCGAGCTGAAAATCGTGTACGGGGTAATTTATAATAATGATACCATCTTTTAATGGTATACGTTGATAATTCTCCATTGCCTTCTGGGCCTTAACCCTTACCTCGTATGTAGCCTAATGCAGGGTTTTAACCTCATGCGCTACAAATTCAAATTTCCTTTTCAGTAAATTGTAAAGAAAGAGGCGCATCACATAAACGGCACCACAATTGTTTGGAAAGTCCTTCAATGTACACAATACGACTATCAACAGGAAATGTTTCATCTATGTAGTTTTCTTCTCCGTTTATCCATTTTGCGGGTATAGACAAATTTGTTTTCCACGATAACTTTAGTTTAAATCGCCCATAATATCTTAACCGTTCGTTTATGATTTTAAGGTTATAAAACCCGATGAGACCTACAAGACAGTTCATTCTCACGTACTGTTCTCCAACTGTTCTGTACGTTCTAGACCTTCCCGACAACGTAAACCATTCGTACCAATATGATAAAAGCGTTGCCAAGTTTGTCTGAAAGTTATCAGTTCTCTGAAGGAATTTAGTGTGATGTAGACATTATTCTTGAAAGAAAGGTTTACATCATGTTTTTGCAAGAAATGTCCTGCTTACGAGAGAACTGAAATTTGAAGAGAAATAGTCATAAATAAAAGTACATTATTCCAGTATGTTCAGTATTTCATGTTGGGATGTAGAGACAAATTAGCATCTTAGCTTGCATTTGTAAAATAATTAACACATTTTATTATATCATTTAAAAAAATACTCGTTTACCAATCGACCCAAAATACAGAAATAATTTACTTGACACTCATTCTTTATTTTTTTTAACAAGCGTTTTCCAAAATTACACTTTTCGTTTAGCTAACTAGAGAGCAATGTGGCTACTTACCTTAAGTAGAAACATCTCTATTTTTCTCGGAAAAGTGACAATTTGAGATGCCTTATGTAATATTGTGGCGAATTTATTATTTTTCACATTTAATATCTTTCACCTTAGATATAGGTTGCCACCTCCTGGATGCCGGAGATTTTGAATCGGAGGGGGGGGGCAAAAAAAGTCATAATGAATGTTTTATTTTTAAATTATACCTATTACTAAATTTTCCATGAAAAAACCAGATTTTTATGTAATTTTTTATATTATATTAATAAATCATTGTTACTTGGCAACGATGCATACCTTCCAGTCTTACTACAGATTATAATCACAATAACAATAAAAACAATATTTTACTAGCCTATTTTTTAAATTGTGTGGTAAAATATACTTCCAATAGTATTTTTTGTTACTACATTTTTGAATAACTCAATTTAAGGTGTCTGGTTAACACACTTGAAAAGTTCACTTCGGATTTAACCCGAAGAGATGGCTACCTGTATTTTCAATATCTTCCTACAAACTATAGTTTTGAATAATTCTAATTCGGTTGGGTAAGAGCAGCGACTGCGGACTCTGACCGGTGCGACTCGTTACTTTTTCTTGGAATTTTTTATGTGTAAGGAAAAGTACGGTTAATTGAATGAAAGGTGCAAACTTACAAGTGTAACGTACTGTATTTTTTTCATATCAATTGAAAAATTGTTTAAAAAATTCACGAATATAATACAGAAAATCTTAACCAACATGAAATTTGAATATATTATATCCACTGGTCCAAATTTTCTCTCTCTCTCCCCCCACCCCACCCCAGCGCATGTGGTAGCCCCCCGCGAAGTTCAGCATCGAGCTCATGCTCCTTTCTCTAGGAAACCTTAAATTAACAAATGCTATAATCTAATATCTACTTTTTTATTAAAATCCCTTCTCCTAAAAGTAATAGTGCATATTACAGCAATAATTAATGTCGCTTTGGAACAGATGTTTGTTCCTGATAAATGTGCACAATAAGGGAAATGCACACACATTATTCCCATTCTCAGTCGGGAAAAGGAAAAAAGCTATCCAGCTAGCTATTGACTGATTAGTTTGCTACCCTCATTGGGAAAGCTGTTTGAAAAATATTCACTGTAGACTAAATTCTTACCTCAGCTCAGTCAAAGCTACACCACCATATCAGTATGGATTCTAATCCCTCCCATCTACATATCATCAAACCTTATGCCTAATTGAAGATATCACAGGAGGATTCCATGACCACAAGCACACAGTCTTTCTATATATGGCCAAATCCTTTGATACCATTTGCCATCCAGAGTTAATTTTTAAACTCCTCAGCATTGGTACTCCTCTTTATATGTCAAGCATCACAGAAAGTTTCCTTACTAAGCACTCATTTCCTGCACATCTTCCCGGAGCTCTCTTGGCACCTTCCGCCATCACTGCAGGAGTACTTCAAGGGTCAGCCCTCCCCCCACCTTGTGTAATCTTCACATCTGATACACCAACTACCCAAAATACTGCAATGGCTCTGTTCACAGATGATAGAGAATTTTATTCCCCCACCAACAATATTGAAACTGCAATGAAAGATCTCCAACATCACCTCGCATTGGTTTACAACTGGAATAAAAAATGGCACATTGAAATAAATCTAAATAAAAGCCAGGCAAAGATATTTACTCTCTGTTGACCAGACACCTCTCCAAATCTCACATATCAATCACAAAACATCTCCTGTTTCCCCCCCCAAATTCAAATATCTTGGAGTTCTGTTTAATCAGACTTGCATGGTGGCAAAATATACAACACAGAATTACACAAGAATCCATCAGTTATATCTTATTCTAAAAACAAGCATCCCCCCCCCCCCGCAAAAGTAAGACAATTACATGTTGCTATTCATCTCCATAAATTAATTATCTATTCCATACTCTTATATGCTTCTCCAGTCAGGGCTGCCACAGACAAAACAAATCTCAACAAAATGCAAAATTTCCAAAATAGATTTCTACACACTATTACAAAAGCTTCCTGGTATGTTCCATTGTGTTATGTACATATGTTACGTACGTTACATAATGGACACCCATTCCCGTCCACTTTTCCCTCCTATCCAGAAAATTCTATTCCAAAGTATTACAGATTTCTTCTGCAATTCACTTTCGCCTAGCTAAACATAATCTGTAAAAGGTTAAAAAGAAAATTGCGATTGTTCTGTATCTTAAACTAGAATTCTGTTTACTCTATAACATGATATAAAAATTTTCTATATCTATTGTAATCATCTTACATGGCTGCAGAGGGTCAAAGACCAATAAAAATTTTTAAAAGAAATATTATTAGCTTTACTACTATTAATATTACTATTATTATTAAATTGTAGTATTGTCGTCAAAAACAAACACAGGTGTTTTAAAATTTCAAATTAAGTATATAAAAAAATTCTCATTTTAAATACAGATTTTTTTAATTGACTTAATTTTATACTTAGATTGGCATTTCTCTGAAAAGTGGAGTATTTCAACAGGTATTTGTACTTGCAGGTATGGGTTTCCGCCCCATTGCTGAAGATGTGGAGAATGCTGGCTCCATGATCGTATATGATGCAGCTAACAATGAGACAATTGCGTCTTGGACAAACAGAATTGATGAATTCTTGTCCCGTAAGTATGTTTTAACAATAACAATATTTAATAATAATTGCAAGTTTTGAAATTGCAAATGGTTGATTTGCTTGAACTGCAAATCAAAAAGAGAATGATGAAACCAAACACTGTCTCAAAATGATTGAACACAACAGAAAAAGAATATTTTCAAACAATCATGTAATATATTTTATTTGATATGTTCTTTGTGCAGTCAACTTTTAAATGATTTATCTGAATTTTGTAGTTAGGTGTAGTATTTGTAAAAACAATAGTTAACTCCAAGAATGCTTAATATAAATTACTCCATAACATGTGCTTGCATACATTCACTTACTTTTAAATCTTATTAAGAGTCTTGTGTCATATGAAATGTATTTCTCAGCCAGATTTCCAATATTCTGAAAATATGAATGGGAAAGAGAAAGAGAAAAGGAAGTAACAAAATAGAACCAGGGATTCGGGCATCATTGAAGAAAAGGGCCACAGTAAGAACTTTTTTCTTATTTGGAAAAAAAGCCCACAATTTTTTCTTTGAAGTGAAGTAATGAGTCTACTCAACTAAAGAAAGACTTACTTAGACTAAAAAAATCTAATCTTCAAGGCTAAAATATGAAAAGCTAAAATGATTGTGAAAAGAGAAATGTAAATGGATTTTATTAAGATTTGGTATGATTGTTTCATCAGAAACTTTTGAAAAGTGTTCAGGAATGTTTATTTGTTATTAATGTATTTATAAGAAAGAATAAACAGCGATTACTAAAGTTACATTTATAACATTTGTTACACACTTAGAAGTAGAGATTATGTTTTTCAAGTACCATAAGAAAATAAAATGATAAATACAATTTTTATTGTTACAGCATATGAAGTGAAATATGATAACCAAGTAGTGTGCGACTTTAATATGTCTGCACCTGCTGGTAAGGTTTGTGAGGTCAAACTGAGCACATTTGGCAACTGTGTGCATGAAAATGATTATGGGTTTCGTAACAGTGCACCTTGTTTCTTTGTGAAACTCAACAAGGTAAGTTACTGTGTTAGCTAAATAATCATCTGCATGCTAAAGCAACAGTTTGACTTGACTTGAGATATAGCAATGAAATCGGGTATGTCTCGGTGACCACTTTCTGGTAAACGTGGAAAAAATCAGGGAATTTATAGAAGTGTCAGTCAAATTTGGGGAAATTTTTAATGGGTTATAATAAGATATTATTCCTTAAAAACAATAGTACAGCATTACTTTTTACTTGATTTTGATTTTTTGAGGAAATATTATTGATTTTGTCTTTGTTACAATGGAATAAGAGAGCTGACCAATTAATATCAGGATAGTTTTTAATATTTTCTTTAAGTAGTTACAAATTGTATCAGAGAGGATGGAAAGTATGTGTCCACTCTGCATTATAAGTTGTTTAATGATTTTTTTTTTTTTGCTTACCAAAGTAAATTTTTCCATTCTTTAGTATCACACCTATTATCAAAATAATATGTTGGTTTGAACAGAACATGTTACTGGTTTATGTATTTTCATTGAACCCCTACTCTCCAAAAACTTTTTTCAATTGTGCATGTATTTGTGAATTCTTACACTTGTGCATGTGCTTGCAAACACACACCAGTAAAGTATGTTTTTTGAAAGTTTTTGTTGTCACTGTGGAAAAGATATAAATGTGAATGTTAATTTTATATCTTATATAATATATAAGATATAATCTTAATAAAACATATTATGCTATCATTTACTATTGAATTTGAATTCTAACTCTAGCAGATAGCAAAAAAGGAAGTGAATTCGTTCTCTTTGCTGATGCTATGAGTATTTTTTGTAATGAAGAAACTATGATGTTTAAATTGGTTCTGTAATAACAAATTAATAGTAAATGAAGAGAAAATGGTTTCAATGCAGTTTCCCATTTCAAATAAACAATCTTCTCCATTGATTATCAATGGCATACCTTTGACTGATGTTAAGGCAGCAACAATTTTGGGTTTCTCCATTCAGTCAAATCTCAAATGGAACATCACTTAGAATGAATTGAACACCACACGATTGCTATGCATTCAGTATTCTTTCAAATTCTGTCAGCCTTCATTTTGCTCATTGTGTATATTTTGTATCTTACAGCACCCAGACTTTTCGTTTACAGAAAAGAATTGTACCAATAATAAGTAAATACTACCCAAGTGATTCTTGTAAGATGCTACTTATTATGCTAGAAATTCTACCATCGCTGTCTCTTGATTTACAATTCAGTGGTCTTTGTTAAAAAGGGTTCAAGGGTGGGAAATATTTCTAACCAATACAGATATCTATAACTATATCATACGACATAGAAATCGTATAAATCAGGTGTCAGTATCAACAGTTCACTACAAAAAATTCACATACAATTCATGTTCATAATTTTACTACTCCCTGCCAGATGTTATTGAATAATTGAAATCGATAAACAAATGTAGGTTTTTCATTCAGTTCCCTGATCTTTGATCAATGCTGAGATGGTGCTACATGCACAGTATAACACAACATAAACACAATTTTAATGTATTCTTTAGATTCTTCACAGATCACAAAAATGCGTCTTTTTTTAATTTTTTAAAAAATATTTCACGGACATTGTTAATTTTTTTATTACGGGCATTTTGTATTTATTTTTAGCTGGTACCCAGGGCTCTGCAGCCACTGAAGAAGTAATTGTGGAAATATTGTTTAAAATTTGAAAGAGTTACTTTGTTTAATTAGGAATGAAAGAAAGAATGATATTTATTTTCTTGTCAATACTAAATTCATTTTCTGAAATTGAATGATAAAAAGTAGAAATTTAAATAATATTTATTCAATTTTCTTGACTTAATTATTCAGTGCTTTATGGTTGACAATATTTTTTTGGCTACCTCATTTGTGAGCATGCAATATACAACTGGATATGTGAAGAACATGAATTTTGTAGGTTGAATCTGCACTCTTTAAGTGATTGACCTTGTGCCTTGTGGATGGTCATTGAGAATGCAGGTTGAATGAGGCACTGGAGTAGTTTGAAATTAAGAGAAATTGGTGGGAATCATGGAAATTTGTAGAATGAGCACAACCTGTTCATTCGACTTTCCATTAAGAATAGTTGCCTCTGACTTTCAGCATCAGTTTCTTCACAGTGATTCCATTACACAATCAGGATGGATTAATGTTCTGCAGTAAAATAATTGGCATACCGATTTCTAGTGACAATTTGAAAGATGGCACATCAGGAAGATCCAATGAATTTAAAAACTCAACTGGATAATTTACAACTTCATCCGCATTCATGACACTATAATCGATTTGAAGGTATCAGAATCACCAGAAATGTTTCTTGAATTACATGGTTGATTTTTATAATTGGTGACAAATTGCGGAAAAAAATTTTGAATGAGTTGTTTGATGGATGGCACACTTGGACTGAACTATTTTCCTACATGTCAATAATTTATTACTTTCCACTGCCTTAGTTCAAAAATCAGCCTTAATATATTCTTATGAAATGTGATTTAAACCAATGTGATATTCTTAAATAGCTTCTTAACATAAAAGAATTTCTGTTTAAATATATTTAATGTTCCTCTTCAAATTTCTATTTTTAATCATTAAAATAACATTGTTACTATGTGTGCTTTTTAATATATTTAGCAGAATGGAGTAGATGTCCTGCTCTCTCCCCCCCCTCTTCCTTCTCAGTTTTTCCCTCTTTTTCTCTTTTCTCCTCTCTACGTCTTGTGCTGCCCTCTTCTCCTGTCCTCGCCCCCACGTCACTCGGCAACACGTAGCAACGATGAATCTCGGATGGAGTGGGAAATGCATTTAACTGAAACCCCATTTTGTGGAGTTACAATATTGTAATATGCCTAAATTCTTCGCACAAGTGCAAACAATAGGTTGATAAAGTTTTATTGCAGTTAGATGAACGGTTCAGCAGCGCATAAAATCCACACACCCTAACATTGATTTTTATATATTTAGATTGAATTTTCGTGGTTAAAAGATTTCTTATAAAGTTTCTCGAAAAACACAAATGTTTTCAGTGAGGAGATTAAAATTGCTTATTTTCAGAAATGCTCACACAACATTTTCTGAAAAACTGGCCCAAAATTTTTCTTTAACATTTTTGCATGGATAATCCTAAAGACACTAAATTACATTATGCCTATGGCATTTTGATGTATTCTTTGATTTTGCAAAAACTACATGAAATATTTTCATATGTGAACTGAAGAGCTTTAAACAATTACTTAAGGAGTTTCTCAAAAACTGAAAATCTTTGTGTGAAATTGTGCTCAAATTTTCAGTTTCAGAAATGCTCAAAGAACATCTCAAGAACAGATCCAAATTTGCAAAGATAATTTGTATAATACTATGTTTTATTCGTTTCGAATTTTCTTAAAGATCTATTTCAATTCTGTTTTTAGGGATCCAAAAATTGAAAAGTTGTTTTAGCACTGATTGGTAGCAACTGGGAAAAGGGTGTAAAAATACCAAAAAGCTAGCCTAGACGAAAAACAAAAAATATCTAGTGCAAGAAAATCTGTGCCATTCTGTAGTACCACTTGTTTCCTGTTTTCTTATTTTTTTTCACGCCCCTAAAGGTAGAACAGAGATATTACCTTAAGAATATTTGAAATGAGTAAAATCTGGTGATGCGCACAAGTTTTCATTGCGAATGTTTTGAGCCATTTCTAAGAAAATGTTTGAGTGTTTCTGAAAATGTGCAAATTTGAGACCATTTTCACATAAAGCTTTTGAGGTTTCGAGAAACTTCATCAGAAATTATTTGAAGTACTTGAACTCACAAATACAGTAATGAAGAAAAATACCAAGAACGTGCATATTAATGATATGATTACATATATGTAAAATTACATGTGTGAAAATTTTAAATAATGAAACTAATACATCAAAATGATGTTTGTCATGTTATTCAGTGCTTTAAGCACTATCCGTACAAAAAGTTTATAGAAAAAATTTAAAGCAGTTTTTGACAAAATCTTGTTTTAATTACTTTTTATTGTTATTGCCTCATATTTCGCTCAAAATTCCGCAAAAAATACAAATATAAAAAAAAAGAGTATCATTAATTTAAGAACTAGTTCAAACAAAATTCATTTGAAGAAAAAAATCTCAGTCTTTGTAAGTATTGAACAATATATATTGTTCAATATCTACAAAGCTTGAGGTCTTCATATGAAGAAAAAAACACACTTATGCATACAAGAAAGTAAAAACTTGTTACCTTGGTATCAAAAATTTTTTAAATATCTTAAAGCCTAGACAACACCCTTTTTTTCTTAATTTATAATGTATGTATGTACTTGGCATGACATCCCATGAATGGGCTTAGGCCTACCGGCGATGTTCCTGCAGCCATGGTTGAAGGGGGTACATGTGGTTAGCATGTAGACATCCCCATGCTGTATTCAGGTCTTCTCAACTTAAGAAGTGAATTTTCACATTGTCACATAGAAACATATATTGGGACATTGCAAAGAAAACACACACTATAACCTTGGCTCAACTGGGTATGAAACCTGGGTTTGCATACTGGAAAGTGAGCACACTGACCAAGAGCAAGCCACGAGCCATAATTTATAATGTCACCAGCAATATATTAGTAACTCCTCCTATTCGTAATTAGCAATTTGAAATTGATAATGAATTAAAGTAAATGTAAAATTGTCAGTTATTGGTTCCCATTTCAAGAATAGTGATTTGTTTTAGATTATAGGATGGACTCCTAAACCTTATGAAAGTTCTGCAGAGTGCCCTGATTCGATGCCAGATGACTTAAAGAAGCACATTGACAGTCTGCCAGCTGAAGAGGTGAGATAGTACAATATAATTTTCTTGCAGATTCTGCTGAGTGGTATCAGTGGTCGAGTTACCTGGCTATAATACCCATATACATCTGAGACCGATGTGGGATGAAGGCCAATCAATGTGGTACTGAATCAGTAGTGTAACAAAATGAGTGTGAGCTGCTAAAAAACGTTTATCCGGGCACCCTTTAAAAAAGTTGTAGCAAACACAAGTATGGCTTGTTCCTGAAATATAACCTAAAATATCACCTAAAAATAGGTCCTCTTACACCTGGTTCTGCTCGCATTGTGGGCCTTGCGAGCATGAACGTTACGCCACTGTATTGAATATAAAGAAGACATTATGGACTTGTGAAAGGTTTCAGAGTTCCACTATTTCATGTGCTTCGCTTTCCCCAGTTGGTCATTATCATTTGTTACTGCCATCCATTTGCTCTTGGGTGGCAGATCAGGATCATGGATACATCATATGCACCCTCATAAAGTTTCAGCTAAATGCTAACCATCTCCTGCACAATTTTATAAGGTACTTAAGGAAGAAAAAGAGAGATGCTGAAATTCCAACTTGCAGATTTTGATAATTGAAAAAATATTCTTCAAGGAATGGCCTTCTAAATATTGTTGAAATTCTTTCTGTTGAAAGCCCATTGAAAGCTTGTAACCTTAGAACACAATATTTCAAATTTATAACTTGTTACTAGTGAAGAGTAAAATTTACTCACACAATTTCTACTGGGAAAAGGTTGTAAATAAGGGATTTACTCCTTACATTATTGCTAAAAAGAACTTTCTTAAAGTTCTCCAGAAATTCTAATTGAAAACAGAAACATCTTCCACAGTACTACTTAGGAGCCGCCATAAATTATGTAATGCAAATGTGGAGTATTTTGAATACCCCTCTCGTCCTTGTAACACGTGATTGAACGTCTCTAAATAACTACATAACACTGCTACAACCCCCACCCCCATGTAAATGCATGAATTGAAAGTAAATTATAGCTCTGTAAACAATTGTATTCATTTTATTTGTGTGTATTAAAATTTATGTTAATTAAAGTCTGAATTATTTGTTGATGTTGACTGCATCTAACAATAGATTGGGGGTAAATTTTGAGTGAAGGAAGGACGTAGACGAGAAAATTTCTGAAGCCGTTCACATTCTATTGTTCTGGATAGCACATGGATGCGAGTCTACTGTGCCAGTTTTATTGTTTTCTTCAAAATACTGCAGATCAGTTATGAATATTTTCTTCGTAATCTTACAGATTCAATACAAAATTTATGAAAAATATTTCTGTTTATTGTAATAACTAAATTATTTATGTTTTAAAACAAATCAATTAGATAATATTTTAATGTTTTAGTATAACAGTTAAGTAGAGAGAGCCAAGGCGCTCTGGTGTCCTAGGGCCAGGGCATCTCTGGACACACCATTAGGGCAGTCCGGGCACGAAAGTAGATGTTCCATCGACTCTTCAACACGTAACACTAATACCACCTGCCCCTATGTAATGCAGCATAACACTGCCTCAAACTTCTTGCTCCGCCTCATTAGCGATATGTAATTTATGGAAAACCCTTAACAGCTTTAATAAAAGGCTAGCTACTACCGCCCTGCTGCATTAGGGCTCTTGAATACACTACTAGTATGTATATACTAAACAGAGAGACTATTACATTGCTAGGAGTTGGAATCATGGCACATCACTACACGGATGCCATCTGTAAAAATGTGCCAGTGAGTAACTAGTATTGTAGGGATAATTTTTAATACACAATGAAACAAGACTATATAGAATTCGTTTAATTCTAACATTTTTATTTGGAAAATGAATTTCTTCATTGTTTTTATTTTATTTTATTTTATTTATTTATTTAGGGGGTCTTTCTCTCTACAGTACCTCTACATTCAAAGTTTATTTTACAGAATATGGCACAAAGAAAAATCAGAAAAACACAGTTAAAATTTATTAGACCAATAACAAGAGAAGTATCCAATATCATAGTTCAGTTTTGAATGCAATGGTCGTAATATAGGAATAACTAATTGAGCTTGATTTGCAGCGCAAGGTGATCTGGGTGTCATGTGAAGGGGAGAACCCTGCCGACAAGGAGAACATTGGGGAGCTCCAGTACTGGCCCTACCAAGGTTTTGCTGCCTACTACTACCCATATATGAACACCGACAACTACGTGAGCCCACTGGTGGCTGTGCAGCTGAAGCGACCTGTTCGTGAGTATCTTCAACTACTATCGTATTCATGCACTCCTGCCAGAGGTTTGGCCAGAAGCAAGATGATCTTGGTGTTCACTTTTTTTGCATTAACAAGGAAGGAAATAAAAGAAAGAATGAAAAGAAAAAAAGTATTAAAATTATTTAAATTAAATATTGCAATTTAGTTGCATGAAAAATCAGTTTACTTTAATCAATACATTCCATTTAATTGATGTACTATGTTGGGGGTCTAAGTACTTTCAACTAAAGTTGTCAGCTAATAGAGTAACTAGTAGTACCACAACAATCTCTCTTTCTCGTTTTATTTGAAATATTTCCAATTTTCAAACATTCATTGAGTACCACAAAAAAGAGATCTGGGTCATTCTTTAAGCATACGTTGCTCTATTTAAGGGAAAAAATTAAACCAAAAATTTGCAGCCATTTTTGAGAAAAAATAAATTATTTTCATCTCTAAAGATAAAAATTATGCAAAAGCTACTCTTTATTTTTAAACTAATGGAGTTACAACAGCACATACTCTGGTATCAGTAACGGTAACAGTTTAATAAAATTAGAACACTACAATTTCTGTTCGTATTACCATATCTCAGTTTTCACTTGTAAAACTCATTACTAATCATGGAGCATTCTACTGTAAAATTTAATTCATTGAAAGTTAATACATCAATATAAATTCTAACAACCACAACTCCACTCCATACACTTGGTAATGTCTCCCTGGAATGAGAAATTTATTCTGAGAATTTCAAGCTGCCGTGTCGTGTTCTCATTGCTGAATTGCAATGTGATAACTACCTGAAAGGTACCTTCTAACTAATAAAGTGTAGGAAATTCCAATTTTCAAATTTGAAAATTTTCAAAATTATACTTTGCTACGCATATTTAAAAAAAAGGAATTTTTCATTGCCTTTTGTAACAAACTGATTTTTTAAAACAGATTTTATTTAGCAAAGAAATCTCTATTTATACTAGGGTACACTTTTCTTGTTAAAAGACGATTCAGAAAAGGTCTTCAATCAGTAAAGTTAAAGAAGGTTGCAGTTAACATATTGCTTTTTGTTGGACAAATTTTCATGAATTCATCTTTTCACGTCTGAAGTTGTGAGAGGAGACTGCTTTTAAGAAGTAAAATATATTCAAATTTGGTAAAATCAAATTGTGGTATTACAAGAATGCTATTTCCAATGTTTAAGTTGAGAGTAATTTTGAAAATGTATGTTGCAGGAAATGTATTGATCAACATTGAGTGCAGAGCTTGGGCGCACAATATCCGGTACAGCAAGCAGAAAAATGAAAGGGAGGGCTCAGTCCACTTAGAAGTGATGGTTGATTAGAAACAAAGCTGATTTGCATCGCGTGGCAGTGTGTGCAGTTGGCTCGACAGTGCTGGCAGCAGCGAATGACTTCTTCCCCCCTTCTCTTTGTCCAATTCGAGAAATCTGCTGCCCAGCTGCAATCCTTCATTAAGGCTTCATGGAGTCCGGTGGTAGTTGGTACTTTTGGGCTGCTAACAGGATGGGATTGGCAAAAAACTTCCTTTCACTGTGGACTCATACAGAGTAATTATGAACACACAAGAGTCTTTTAAAAGCTCTGCAGTGACCTTGTGATATAGGTGGTACTTAACTTTCTACACTTGTATTGTCATGTGCCTTCATTTCATGATTATTGTGTCATGAAACCATTTTCTGGCAAAGTGAAAGTGATTTGTCGTATCCCAATCTACCGTGGGGGCGTGGCCCTCCTCTTCTCTGCTGTGAGCATTTGCAGCTCGGCTCTGCCTTGGTTTCCTTTTCTTACTTATTATTTAATTTGACGATAGTACTTATTTTCTTGTCACAATTGATAAAATGTCAAAGTTCATATTATTTTATATTGCAACTTTATGGACTCAATTCAGCTGCCCTCACTTACGAAGTGAGAGAATTGTTCCTTTCATTTCATTCACTCAGGGTAGTGCAGGCCTATCATGTATTTCATGTCTTGACAAAACATTTTATAAAAGAGTACTTGCCTATTGTATATATTTTATTGATTGTATTTTAATAATGTCACCAGAGAAATTTGAAGTTAAATTAAAGGAATTACAAATTAATATTAGTGTCATAATTATTGTCTTATTTTGTCATACAGAATAGACATAACTTGAATTGATGTGAAGATTCATCATGTTTCATATTCATATGAGAAATATTGATTTATATCCCTACCTAACATCTTAGAAAGATTTTTTCATAAAAAAAATTAAAAATCACCCACCTTTGATCCTTCTTTAACCTAAATCAAGAAAAATCAAAGTTCAAATTACCATAGAATACTTTTTTAAATATACTATTTTTAAGAGTTCAAAATAATTTATTTCCAGCTTCAAAGTCTATTTGTTAATTAATATCAAAATTAAGTTTGGAATATTCAATTGTTACATATGCTCAGATATAAACTTGTTCTGTTTACTCATCATCATCCATCATTGTCATCAACGGTAAAGGTTCTGGTCCGTATCTGTAGTTTCTTTCGACTTTGTATTTCCGTAGACAAAAGTGTTGTGATTTTGTGACCTTGGTTTAAGGCTTACATTTTCTTTCCATCTCGTTTTTTATACATCACAATATCTGTTCTTATTATCTTCATATGGTTTAGCCACGTTGAAGTTGAAAATGGGTTTTAAAAGCATCCATCTTATGCTGCTGCAAGTTTCTCTGTAGATACCACAGAGGGACCTGTAAACTTGTCAAGCTTTATGATGATGATGATGATGATGATGATGATGATGATGATGCAGGTGTGGGAAGATGTCTGTCCTTCCCTTGGTGGAGTTTTGCATTTCCATACCACTGCATTTGAGATGGTTGGGATGTTCAGAGGTTGATATCATGATGGTGGTTCAGTTAGGATATATGAATATGTGAGAAGATGGAAGAATATCTTTGGTTCTATATGCTTGGCTGAACCCACCTTGATGTGAAGATAAAGATAAATTTATTTAAACTGCAATTGGGTATAACCCGGTAGCAGCTAATTATATAAAAATGGTAATATAACTAACATTCAAATTATATAATAATAATAATAATAATAATAATTGTAGTACAATAATAATTACAACAGCTAATAAGACTAACAATAATAATTAATAAAAACTGACTGATTCATAAAACATTAAATTTACCATAAGAAAAAGAAACTTCTATAATCTAAGTCCGCAATGAATGTTTGTTCAATTAACACCACACTGCACTGACCCTGCACTTCACTATGACCCTTAAATCACTTCCTTCATTATTTCTATACACTGGAGGACACCTCACTTCATATTATATCACATCACTCTAACCTATTATTCTTAGTTAAGTTCCTTTACTAGTAAATTTACTTAGTAATATCCTACATTAATTTCCTAACTCATCGAGGAAAGGGTTCAAAGGATTTTGTAGGCAATCTATTCAATTCCATTATCATTCGATTTGTGAAAGAAAATTTGCCGACATCCGTTCTCTGCGATCTTAAATTTATTTTGTGTCTGTGATCCCTCCTACTGATGTATGTAGAAATACTTAGCTGCCAATTCATTTCTTTCCAAACTGGATAACCACTATAAGCTTAATACAATGTGCAGAGTCTTGCTGCTGATCGCCTGTTTTAGAGTGAATCCCACCCTACTATTTACTTGTCCCTGAAAGTAAACTTAGCTGCCGTACGCTGAATCCTTTCCAAATTTTCAAACTGCGTAATTTTGTGTAGATCCCAACACATTGTTCCATATTCCGTTACTGCCATGCTTGCTGCCATATACCAGCAAGATTGGCATAATCTATGTAGTAGAAGAGATTTCTCCGATGTAATGTTTCCCCAACAATCACAGTGGCAATTGTAATTGTTTTATAAAGAGGCTTTAAGGAAGAGGAAAAAACTGGCCAAAAGTGTTGAAGCCAGGATAGCATGCCACTAGAAAACTACTAGTTATTCAGAAAAATTCCACAGGTCAATGATCATACACAGAATTATCTCTTTGCAATTTGTTGTTGGATCTAGAGATGTATGGATGTTTATTATTAAAATTTTGTTGTGATAATTGTGCTGAGATTTGGATCCACTGCTCAAGAAACAAGGTACCAAAGGTAAGTGCACCCATCGTAAGGATCAAACACAAGTAAACCATTCATCTAGTGCTGTTAAGACACTTCAAAACAATTGTTGAAGAATTGGATTTTATTCATTTATGGAAGTAGAAAGTCCATGACAATCATACACCATCAAAAAATTTTAGATATACATTTTCAGTAAGTGAGCAATTAATTTATTATATAAAAACCTTTCATGGACTTCATGCAATGACATCTTCAGGTAAAGTCTCTATATATTAACAATAAATCCTAATAAAACTAAACTTCACTATTCAGACAAAAGGAGAGTTGAGACTCACCTTGCTTCAAAGGGGAAATTCATAATGAATCATGGGAACATGAAAATGAAAAATGGGGGACAAACCATAAATCTTATTATGGCCTATGTTAAGTTGTAGGTCCGTAGAACAAAAGTTACAGCCATGTTAACCCACTGATGTTTTGTGGTTAATTGACTGAGGTGGAAAATGCTTTTCAAAACAAAGGGGAAAAACAAGGTGAGGGGAAGACTGGTTGGAGGATGAGGGAAATTAAAAAAAATTACACAAATTGACCAAATGATTAGAGAATTTTATTCAGAAAAAAAAAATCTGCCTATTAATTTGTAATGGGGTGTCTTGATGTGGTATTTTTGTCTGTTTTTGAGCTTTAAAAAGCGTAAATTTTATAGACGTGTAAATGAATAGAGAAAAAGATGGAAAGGATCAAAATTTATGAATAAAAATGGATATTGAAACAGAAAACATTATAATGCTTCAAAAATAGATGTACCAAAACATTGAAAAATTCATCTATTTCAAGATTCAAGCACTTCCTCTCCCTAATGATCTCTCCTTCACAAGTCCTTTCCAAAACTTTGTGTTCCTTCCATTTCAAACCAAGATAACATGACAAACCATTGATTTGTATTTCCATTTGTAATGCATAACACACACGCATTTCATGACTGCATTACACTTCAGTGCAAAGCAATAGAATCTTTTCATTATTAGCAAACTTTCCATTAGAGCTTCTGTACAGTTGTATGCAGTGCAGGCTGGAAGAATAGAGCAATCTAGATAAAAGCAAAGTGAAAAAGGTTTTATCAGGAATCATTTGAAATAGTGGAAGAATATTTCTGAACCTTTTTTTTAAAACTTTGTAATCTGAATAATTCTTTGATACTCACATCTCTGATCTCTAAGATATTAAACATTGCTATCTTCCTACCACAATCACTTGGAATATTACTGATGATACAGCCTTCCCCTCATATCTTGAAGTACATTCAATTGTTACAAGTATACCAGCTACAACAAATGTTTTAACAATTATATTTGGTGATTAATTAAATTCTCATAATATTTGAAGAATCTCTTTTAACATTAATTCTTATTTACGTTATCTCACAGTAAAAAATAGTTCTTATCACTGAAATCCAACCAATTCTCTTTTACAAAGTACTACGCATGTAACAATATAAAATTCTTGAAGTCAGTATTACAGCATTGCAAACTCTAAACCAAAGTTAAGAATTGGTGAATGTACTTACAAAGAGGATTTTCTATTTTAACAGCAACAAGTGGTGCTAAATAATGCTTTTGAGCAGAATAAGGAAAGAAAGAAGTTGAAAAGCCATTTTGGGGGTAGAGGTGCAGTTTGGAATAATGTTCCCTGTCAGCCGGCTGATGTCCTTTACATTCCACTTCAATGTAAGATTGCTGTTTGTAGAAAAAAATAATTTAAAAAATCTTCAGTAGATGAACCATGATGAAATAAAATGAAAGAAATAAAAGTAAAATGAGAATATGTTATAAATATTCATCAGATTCTGTCACAAATGCAGAAACATTGCAATCTCATTTGTCAATATTTCTCAATACATTGAATATTATTGTGTTCACTTTAGCTTCAATCGTAGTATGTTTGTTGTGTAGTTTGTGTAATTTCTTGATGGAAAGAGAATATATAAGACTGTCAGTCTAGTTTGCTGTAAATGGGAAATGTAGGAATAATACAACACTCAGGAACTTGGGAAAAATCCAAAAACATTTACATGACTTATTTCCAATGCATGTAGAAATTGAAAGAAAACTATGTACCCTCTGGGCATGAGAAGATGTCGACGGTTTTGGTAGATACCCCAGAACTTGACACGTGGCTCAGAGCGAAGTCACTTGCCTTTTACCATGGAGGTTCGGTCGTTTGATTCCTGGACAATTTCGTGTGAAATTTGTTTGAACAAAACGAGTTTGGCTGCTTCGCAAGGGCTAGTCCAACCCCTGTGAAACATCCTAAGCCCTACCTCGCCCTGATTCCTAACCAATTTGGGCCGCTATGTAGTGACAAAGGAGCGTGTGGTAGGAGGCGCATACACAGAGATGCTACCTGGTGGCCCTCTTGCCAAATAAAACAACAAATAAACAAACTTGGGGGAAAAATACAAAAACAATGGAACAGCATTTGTACAACTACTGTGAGAATCTTCATTATAATTTTCAGTTTTGTAAAAGTTGGGCATCCACCTTCCTCTAATTGACATATTTTTTGTATGGCCCACTAAAAATTTTGATTCCTTTAAATTTAAAATGTTTCAAATCATTTGTAAGAGATAATATTCAAGGGTGCCAGAGAAGACTAGATCTGTAGAGATAAATCCACAAGAGTGTGTTGTTACAAACAAATTCTGTCCTTTTCCAATATATAAACTGAATCCATGAACTGAAATAACTTATTACTAGAGACCAGATTATATGCAAGCATGTTCTGAAAAAAATGTGCACAATATTCAGTTTCTTTTAAAAAAAATGCATGGCAAGTGGAGATTTCTGCCAAATTACACACAAATGCGCAGGAAATAAAACTTAAGGAAATATGGATTAAAAATGAAAACAAGCATATTAATAACTTAGCTGTGTAGTACATGTATTATTAAATACTACTTTTAACAATACTTTACAAGTAAAAGACTTCACCACACAGTAGTATTTGTGAAACATTTTACCAGACATGTTTTTAAAATTGTTAACCTAAAAATTTAAATAAATGTATATGTATACATTTACATATGTTTGTAAATTATGTTTGTTAATTGAAAATATTCTTTCAAAATGTACCGCTACCGCTATTGGGCAAGTTTTAAATCATATTTAGACCATCAACAATTTCTCCAGGAAGAACCTTCTTGTTGCAAGTTGAACATATTCATTGGTCTTGTTGCAAGAATTGAATTGATGGAATTGTCTGGTCTTGTCATTTCTCTATGTCATTATTAGTGTCCCAAGAATGGAAGAATCGAAAACGACTTACTTCTAAGAAATCTCTCCTGCAATTTATGAGTCGGATTTCTTTAAGTAGTGCCATAGTAATATGCTGTTATATGCCAGAATGTTCAAAATATGCAATTATCTAAAAAATTTGCACAATATGCATGCATATAATCCAGTCTCTACTTACTACAGTTAATTTTAACAAGTAAATACATTTTTTATTTGTTTTGAATGGAAATTAATTTTAGGAGCCCCAATTAAGATGGAGCCTGGGGCAAGTTGCCCTAGTGGTTCTTGTCTCTGGGCATCTCTGATAATATTTGTAATGATAAACATAAATAATACACATAAGAAGAAAAGATGCAAAGGCAGGACAAAATTTACGCAATAGGATTGGTACGATTAAATCAAAGAACATATAGATCTATGACATCCATACCTGGGACTGTCTCGAAGGATCATTTGGAGGTAAACAAGGAAACCATCCAAAATGCTGCAAAAATGTATCCAAGTATATAAGAAGCTCACTAAAATTATATTTTCTAGTGTTTTATTGCTTTCATTACATCAGAGATTATGTTGACTCTCACAAACTTCAACATAATCTAAGATGATTTGAAATATATAATTTTTTAAGTATATAACGTTATTATTTTCATTTTGTATGTTTAATGGTAAAATTAATGTTTTTCTATCACTACAAACGTTTGTAAGCCAGTGATAGTGTTGTTTATTTATTTCAAGATGAAATGTTTTAACATTTAGTTACGGGGAGGTTGTACGTGTCACAGGATCAACATTTTAGATTTTCGTGTTATTTTGAATCTTTAATATTCAAGAAACATAGTGCAATACACATTTGTGAGATATTTTGTTCCTAATGTTGAAAATGCCATTTAAATGTCTAGTCACACCAAGTGTCTTTTAGTGACTTAGTCATTACAAGACACTACTACACTACACTACTACTTAGCTAGAGGGCCAAAAGGCAGAAAAGATGGTAGAAAAAACGTTGAAAAGAAGTAAGATTCAGGGAACAAAGAGGAAAAATTAAGAGAATGATGAAGATGCAAAACACTCAGAATATGAACCAGGATTGTCTTATGAGTATTGACACAAATCCTGCATTCCCCAAAAATATTTTTTTTAATCTTCCAAGTACCTTTTTTTCAGAAGCTATTGTACATAACTCTATGAAATTTTGACCACTTATGTATCATGTATTTGCTGTCATTTGTTTTTCTTATAGAAGAATTCAATTATTCAAGACTCAGATATTGAGTATATTTACAAAAAAAAATAGTATGTTGGGCAAAAAATTATTAATCAATGTAATTTATGTTGAATCATCATTCATTATGAAAAAAACATTATGTGATAAGATAATTACTATAAAAGTGTAAAATTTCAAAGAACTTCATGAAATAGTTTTAGAGATAAGGGTACACAAAGACAACACAAGTACCATTACAGAGATAGTCTGTACAACCTCCCCTTAAATAGAATTTTAAAATTGATTTTGAATTAGAAAAAGAACTGTTCTGAACAATAAATATCCCCCTCGCCAAGCTTTACATGAGTTGATGTTCACAAATTAGTACCAATATTGAGAACAAAATTATTTTCAACAGATTTATTATGATGATTGTATTGGAGCTTTGTTTTATACAATTTAAAGTTAAATTCAAGCAAGTTGTTTAAAATTATGTTTTCACAAGTTTGTTAGTGATGTACTAGAGGCATCTGTGGACAAAATGGCCTAGAGAATGTAGATCCCTGTGGCAAAACTGAGTTCACAGTTTGTTAATTTGTTCTTGCATGTCCCTTGATAAAATTATATTGTTTTATCTCATAATTTTATTATGAATTATATTAAATTAAAATGAATAATAAACTTATGAAATGAATCATACCTCCAATTCACTTCCATCTCTCATTATGGGAAATAAATTCAGTTAAAAAAAACCGAAATAATTGGAATTGCTTACAGAAAATATGTCACACATCTCACTGAGGACAGAGCATTAAATGCTCTTAACTATGATTTATAAAATAAGTATGCATAACTTTATAAGCTGTTTTATTTCATATAACTAATAATATGAGAAGTAATCTCATAATTTCTTAATGAGAAAGTAAATAAATGTTAAAATGAGTGTCGCTATGTAACAACTCATTTTTGATAACAGGATTGAAATGATGAATAATTGAAAGTTAATTTGTTTGTTTACTAATTTTGCTTCAGAATATTCACAGTATGAACAAAAATTACATTCCCACATAGAGGTTCTCATTCACATTTCAAACGAAGTGGAAATCTTCAAATTATTGTGGGATAAAACAAATGCCAATGTGCGGCGTTGGATCCAGCCAATCATTTTGGAGAGGGCCATCATAGATTTTTGTTAAATAATAAACTTTTTTATAATACTGTATATTATTTTTGTAGTGTATTTATGACTTTACACTATATTATTATTTAAATAATTACTTAATTCTAACATAAATCAATATTTTAATCAATTTTGCCTAGTGATGGTAACAAATGAAAACTGTAGGCCTTTGGGAGAGGGGGCCTGGCCCCCATGCCCCTCCCCCTGCCCAGTTCTGCCATTGGGGATGAATATAGGAAAATTTAAGAGTAAGTTATTGAATTCCAGGATTTTTAATTACAACATTTATCCAGCAAAATATTAATTTAGATATTCAAATTCTTATGAAGTTATGCATTGAAACCCAAGTAGCATCCATTTATTACTAATGAATTGAGTCAATCAAATACTGAAATATTCTAACCTCAATGAAAAATAGTTTCACACCTTGTTGAGCTTTATCAGCACACAAGGGCTCTCTGTGTCATACCCATAAGGTTCCTTTCCACAAGGACCTAAAGAAGAAATGTTAAATTTACATGGTTTGGCTGAATTCAGACAGGTACTGGTGCATTCTTGATGTGTTTTGTTGTCTTGATTCTCATATGCTGAAAAGTACATTCAAAAATATAATTGCAAGTAATGAATATAAGATTTATTATATAAGATCCACTGACCTTGCAATAAGTTTTTGAAATCATTAATGTAGCTACTAGGAGACATTTGCACATCTTGTAATCTATAAATAATGAGTTGTTTTGGTGCAAAAGGACGCATTGATACACCTACAATAAAACAAATATTAAAATAATGGCATTGGCAGTGACTAAAATAATTGTTACTAGGTCATTCATTCTTTCCTTACTGGGGGTCCCTCCAAGGTGATTCACGTCAAAGAATGTTGTCTGGTAACGTTGCACATAATGTATGATAATGATACACATAAATGCAGTGAGAGTCATCAAGATTAAAAAAAATCCAAGATAGTACATACAAAACTGGCCTATAAAGTATGTAAACATGTTAACATCTCCAAACATAACAAACTAAGATTTATTTGCCAAAGTCTCACCCCATTCTGGTGCAGCTCTTTTGCAAAGCAACTTCCTTCTTGAGTCCCATAAGAATAAACGAAAATTTGGACAACACCATCTACTAATACCAGGCATAGTTTATTAAACTATCGAAGAAGTGTAGTTCTCAAATGTCTATTTTAAAGTTATTGAATAACATTATACATTATTTGAATTGCCGCCATACGACTCCACACATGTATTTACATGCTGCAAATTCCTAGAAGTAATGGGATTTTCTTCAAAAAAGGATAAATGACACTTAAAGTTTACACAAAATTTCGTGTATAAGTCACGCAAATATGAAAAATGTTGTTATAAAAGAAACATAAAACATTATCTTCGATTGAATATTATTATACAAGGGAGGTTAACCTTAACGAGTAGCATCAGTAGCGTAATCTAGGTAGCATTACTTGAACTATTGAAGAAAAGGTCGGGTTCCTTTTCTACCCAAGATTCGCTGAATTTTAACTTTCTGATTGAAAACTCCATTTTCTTCTCTATAGTTTTACTAGAAGATGTAATGTGAATTTTATATGTAAATCGAGACAGTTTAGTCAAGAATATACCATTATAATAATTAAATGAGGACACAATAAGCCTCCTCAGTATTCAATTGGAAAGGAATACACCCCATACTCGTGATCTGTTTCGGAACGGGTCAGTCGCTTGTTGACTTTGGAGGTGAGAACGTTGTTGGAGCGAAGAGAAGTCACTGCACTGTATTATTTGAAAGGAGCAGTGCAAGATAGTGTGTGTTGGGAATTGCAATTGCATTTGTTGTCAAAAGTATTGTACATTATCCTGAGGTAAGTTAATTTTGTGTTTATTTGTGTGGCAGATTATTTGGACGTTTGTTGATGTGAGGCCAGGATGTGTGTATTTTGGAGGCGTGACAATGTTTTGTTTTTTCTAAGGGCGAATTGAGTTCATTCATTGTGTATTTTTGCATTCATCTCCAGTTTGTCCGCGCAGTCAACAAGATTCTGATAAAGTTGTTTTTTATCATATTCACCAACAAACCGTACTGACACTTTAATACCATTTCGTGCAATCGTGATGTGAAATCATAGCGTAATTATGGCTAGGTCCTCTCTGACGGGAAGTGTAAGGCTGCAGTTTTTTATTTCTTCGTGTAGCTAATGGTTTAGACTATAAAATGTACAATGTCAGTTGCTGTCATTGAAGATTAAGATTAGTCATCTTGCATCACCACGCAATTGTATATGATGAGGGCTGGACCATTACTGGAGGTTTTTGTATGCTCATAGCAATTATCTCACATGTATTAATTTTAAACTTCGCTACATCTCATATTGAAGTATACCTGTAATATTCGTAGTAATTCTTTAAGTATTGTTGAAGTATGTGCTAGGGCGTATCATGCTGCTAGTCAGTATCAATGGTTATTTATTTATCGACAAAATCGGTTTAAAACAATGTATGGTTAGCGAGATGTATTACCACGCAACTACAGGTGTTTGCGTGAATCATTTAATTCAATGTAGTATTCACAATTGCCTTCAACTTTTAACTTTCAATTAAAAGCAATTAAGAAAATGCCATAGAAGATTACCTGCAGGTGCCCAGCAATGTTATTATTTTGAAACGATTGAGATTTTTGAAATTACGTGTTACTTACTGAAAAACATTGCAGATTTTGTTCGTAATGTGTGCAAGTCGAAGAAAAATCCGCGCCTATCGTCTTTCAGCCCACTAATGCCACTTGTCATGTCTGTAGTAGAGCTGTGCTAAGTGTCAACTCTGTTTTTCGTATAAAAAATTGCGTATTTGTTGTGATAGTGCCCTCTCGTTGAGAGCATTCTCGGGCGGTTGGGGAGGGGGGTTAAGTTAGCATTGATCGTCCAGGCTTCCCCCACCACGCGGTCTGAGCCGGTGATCCCGATGGGAAATTTGCAATCACAGTGCGGGGCCTGTACCCCGTTCCACTTATCCCGTGTTTTTGTTCCATTTGGTGCATCAAATTTCCTTGTCATTAGAAAACTAACTGTGAATGCAATTTTTGAAACTTTTTAGAAAGCATTCTGAAGCTTTAATCGCGCGATTGTTTGTGATGTACGGGGAGTGTGATTGTGTGTATGAACGCTACTTGACCTGATTTTGGCCTCCGAGACAATCCTAAACATTGTGTTCAAGAGGGACGGGAGTGTCGTGGAGGAATGCATCTCAATATGACGCAATCGTTTCGCTTTCGGCGGGCGGGGGTGGGGGGAGGCCTTCGGGGAACGTTTTTCGCCTCTGGTCGCAGTCAGATCTGGAGGCTGCAAAAATACCAGCGAAAAGGTGCGTCTGATCCGAAGCTTGACGTATGAATAGAAGTGAATCATATGGTAGAAAAAAATAAATTATTTTATAAAGAATAGTAGTTTATGGCTTCAGAGTAAAATGCAATTTTGTTTTTGAAGGTTTCGCTCCCGAGGCAACGACAGAGTAGATGGGCTATGTTCACTTCCGATTGAAATGTGTACTTGAGAACACATTGAAATTGGTTCTCTGAATTGAATGTCTGAACACTTGAAAAAGTTTTTCAAGTCTCTTAACTTCAATTTTTTTCTTATGTAGGATGCGAAACGAAAGGATTGTCTGTTAAGGAAAATGCAATGATTTGAATGAATTGCTATTAAATGCAAATATTTCATCATACCGAGATCCGAGTCCGGGACCTGCTGTAATTCAGATGCTCCAGTTTTATTAAATGTTTCGTGGTATAAATTGCCGAATATTAGGAAAACAAATGCTAATCCTAATCTTCACTAACCCACGGATGAAAACCACACAAAAAATCTGTACAAAATCGTCAGAGATTTTAACTTTGTTGAAGATTATTTGTCGCAGCCAGCTACAAGCAGCATGAAAGAGGACAGTTACCCAACTTATCACAAAAAAAAGTGTGGTTTGAATTTTCTCTCTCACTCATTCTCTCTCTCTCTCTCTCTCTCTCTCTCTCTGTCTCTCTCTCACTCATTCTCTCTTTCTCACTCATTCTCTCTCTCTCACTCATTCTCTCTTTCTCACTCATTCTCTCTCTCTCACTCATTCTCTCTCTCTCTCACTCATTCTCTCTCTCTCACTCATTCTCTCTCTCTGTCTCTCTCTCACTCATTCTCTCTCTCTCTCACTCATTCTCTCTCTCTCACTCATTATCTCTCTCTCACTCATTCTCTCTCTCTCACTCATTTTCTCTCTCTCACTCATTCTCTCTCTCACTCATTCTCTCTCTCACTCATTCTCTCTCTCTCACTCATTCTCTCTCTCTCACTCATTATCTCTCTCTCACTCATTATCTCTCTCTCACTCATTCTCTCTCTCATTCTCTCTCACTCGCTCTCACTCTCTGCAACTAAGAGCCTATCCTTTCTGGGACGGTGTGCCTTGGGAGAGATACCTGGAGTTTGGAACCCTCCGCTAGCCGTCGTTTGGTTAAGTGCCAGATCTGATGTGCAAGAAGTGAAAAACCGCCTTCTTCTGAGTTGCAACGTGCGCTACATTGACGGAACTTATGTCCATAGATATGTAACATTTGGCATGAGATCAAAGTCACCAGCCGCCGACCTCTTGTAGTGTACATTCACACGGCCGCTTGGATTTTGTGCTATACTATCACCCTCTTCCACATGAATGTCTGAATCTGCTTCAGAGTGAAGAACCGTGCAGTAAGCTTCCCGAACGAGTTGGGTCTGTTGGCACAATTCCTTAAGGGCAGGAGGAAAGGGCCGTATAATACAGATTATAGAAATGATAATTAGAACCACTGAATACAGTATTGCAGATCTAACAGAGAGGCGAGATACAAGGAAACACCTTGCGAATCGAACATACCTGTAATTAGGAGGTGGCGCATTCGAACTCGGCGATTTCTGTCTCCCACGAATGTACTCGTCAACATCGGCGAATTTGCGGCGCCTGCCGAAGTCGAATTCGAAGTCGATTGCTCTCAGGAGTGGTTTCCGTGGTTTATCTTCTCTTCCAGGCGAATTGCGTGGATGAACAAATTGTTGTTAATCTGTAGATGTCATTACATGTTTCAGAAAAGTATAGAATTCTTCAATGATATGCTCCAAATGGTTTGATATTTGTTTTATGCTTTCTCGTATACGTACTATAGAAAAAGTTTGTAATGCTGCGGAAAATCGATTTCGAGATTTTAACCGAAATACATGTGCGGTCCCCTGATACCGAAAAGTTTTTTTTTTCTTTCCAAACACCGCCAGTCTGTCGTCAGGTGAACAACACTGCGCCTAACGAATGCGAGGATTTTTCTCCAAAACCAATAGTCCCCTGACAATCTGGCCTCCATGGAAGTTTTGCGACATGCATCAATTTTTAGGTTCCTTTTCAGAATCTGCGACATTTTCAAATTTCTCTCAAATAGTATATATATTTTATTTTAGATTATTTATTATTATTATTATTATTATTATTATTTCGTATAAGAATGTAGTGTTATACTGTTATAAAGTTGACGTATGTCCTATTTCCACTATTAACTATCGGAATTTTTTTTCGGATAAAGATTTATGAATTTTTTGAAGGCATGCCATATCTCATCACCGGATACCTCTTGCGACGCCCATTCAGCCACTTCCTCCTCCTTCCGACACCTGCCCACCCACTCTGCGCTTTGCGCTCTATCTGTTACTCTCACTCACCACCCTTCGTCCTAGCTGGCATTCCATGCACGTCCTCCCGACAGCACTTGCCCCGTCCATTCAGCGTTTTCCGCGCTGTTTCTGTCCCTCATCACCCTTCGCCCTGTTTCTCCCACGTCCTAGCTGGCATGACAGGCCCTTCTTCCCGACACCTCCTGCTACCCAGTCAGCGCCTTCCGCTCTATCTGCTCATGTCCCTTATTACCCTTCACCCTTCCTCCCACGCCCTAACTGCCATGCCATGCCCAACCTCATGACACGCCCAGCCACCACCACCACAACTCTTTCTCCCACGCCCAAGCTGGCATTCCATGCCCGTCCTCCCGACACCACCTGCCCGCCCATTCAGCGCCTTCCACTCTTATCTGTTCCTCTCGCTCGTTACCCTTCGTCTGCTCTTTCGGTCCATCTCCATCCGATTCTTCCACTCCTTTCGCTTCTATCGCTCTTTTCGCTTATTCTGTTTGCCATGCTGACTTTCCGTTCCTCTACTCCTTCCACCCTCTCGTTCCGCCAGCTGTGCCTGTCCTTTCCGGTGCTGCTTGGCGTCGCCTGGCGTCTTAGTGCAACGTCTAGCGACAATGTAGCTGAGATGGGCTGGGGATTTTATTTAACTGCATATTAAAAAAACAAAGCATTTTGAAGTAAAGGTTTTGGCAACCACGCTATATTTCATTCCTCGCAACTCAAAAGTTTTCATGCAAAATTTTGGGGCCAATCGTTCCTGGGGTTCTAAAGGT